TTACTGCTGAGAGGGGAAAAATATGTGTACATATATGTGTATGTGTAGTTTACATGAATTACAAATACATCCCTACAATAGAATGCTGTGCATATTTTGGGGACACTTAAAAATATGCACATCATATACAACCAGAGGCCTGGTGCATGAAATTCACACACTGAGAGGGGATCAGGCCTAAGCCAGCAGTCAGACATCCCTCTCGCAGTCCAGAGCTCTTGAAGTTTGGGACCCCTTGCTCCTTACTGCCCACCTGCTCACTGCTCGGCTTGCTGCTCCTTAGTGCTGCCATGGAGGTGGGAGAGGCTCCCACCACCATTGCTGTGCTTGCCAGCTGTGACTCCAGCTTCTGACTGAGCGGCACTCTCCCTGTGGGAACTCACTGACCACCAGGGGGCAGCACCTTCACTGAGCGTCTACCCCCTGGTGGTCAGTGCGCATCATAGTGACTGGCCAGTTCGGTTGATTTGCATATTAGGGTTTCATTATATAGGATGGAACAATTGTTCATGGAGTGAGGAAAGTGAGAGTTGAGTGTGGAGAGTGAAGAAAAAAAGTTGAAAACAGAGAAGAGTCCTTACAAACATAACAAAGAATTTGTAACCAGAAAATGTACCTAAAATGTTTTTAAAATTCACAATGTGAAAAATCATAGAGTAAAGTTGTGGGCAAAGAGTTTGGGAATTGAACTTTCTAGAAAAACTAGAATACAGGAGACATTCATTCATATAGTCTCAATAGCATATTGATATTAAATATACCTTCTTCACTAGGCAAGCTATGCAAATTTTAACAATTTATATATATAAAATCCTAATTTGCAAATAGACCGAATGGCGGAACAACCAAACAACTGGTCGCTATAACATGCATTGACCACCAGGGGTCGTGTGTGGAACATGGCAGGTGTCAGCAGCAGGCGGCAGAGTGTGGAACATGGCGGGCATTGGCCTCTGCAGGATAATGGAGCAGGTGAGCAGGGGCGCCAGACCAAGGCAGGATGCAAGTTGCAGTCATTAGGGCGAGCCTCTGGTGGTTACTGAAAATTCTTAGCTCCCGTGAGCCGCAGACCAACCTGGCACTCACACCTGCTGCAGCGCTCGCACCTGCTGCCAGCGTTAGCCCCATTAACACCCACTGCTGGCACCAGAGAGGTGGCTGCCTGGCCCCAATTACCCCTCAGGGTTTCCCCACCTCCCCCTGCTCCTGAGGGGCAATTGGGGCAGCAGCCACTGCTTGCACCCGCTCCAATTGCTCCGCACTGTCAGTGAGTGTGAGGGGGCCAGTGCCATCAGCGGGTGGGAGCAGGGCTCTTGGCAGACTGGGAATCAGGGGCATGGCAGGAGGAGCTGGGCGGGGGTGTGGAGGATGGGCAGAGACCTGCCCCTGTGCCCACTGTGGCCCATAGTTCCTTTCAAGGTGCATGAATTCGTGCACTGGGCCCCTAGTATGTAAAAAGAAAGAAACATTAGAAATTGTGTTTAGAGCTAATCTGCAGAGAGGCCTCCACAGGCAATGGGACTGTTTATAATTTGTGCTAATTTTCATGATTGCCTTGAGTCAGCATTTAGTATATCACCCTATCCATATTTAAATCTTAATCCCACTCCAAATATATGTGTACCCAAACTTAGAATTTCTCTTGAATGGAAGAATCCCTTAATTTAGGCTGACAAGATTTAACTTGAGAAAAATTAATGCTCACCTCCCCACACAGAAAATAATAACTATATTTATCCATTTAAATTTTTATTAATGAAATGAGGGAAAGGAAATACTGAGATGGACTTAATATGCATTTTTCACAGAAGCCTCTTGAACAAAGTGAAGTTCTTCATTTGCCACTAAACTTTCCCTTTTGAGTGAGGTCATGGTGGTTCTTTCATATGTAGGAAAAGGATCACATTCTTCCATGTACCTGAGGTAAGTTTGGTGTTAGTATATTGATCATTAATACACTCTAAAATAAAGAACTATAGGATTTTGGGTAGAATTTTGGAAAGATTGCTAATAGGAATATCTTCATCATTGAGATTTTAAAATTTAAGCCATGTGCTTTTGATATTTTATAGTTTCCTTTCTTTGCCCCTCCTCTCCCTTTCTTCCTCCCTCCCTGCCTCCCTCCTATTCTTCCTTCATCCCTCCTTTCCTTTCCTTTCCTTTCCTTTCCTTTCCTTTCCTTTCCTTTCCTTTCCTTTCCTTTCCTTTCCTTTCCTTTCCTTTCCTTTCCTTTCCTTTCCTTTCCTTTCCTTTCCTTTCCTTTCCTTTCCTTTCCTTTCCTTTCCTTCCTTCCTTCCTTCCTTCCTTCCTTCCTTCCTTCCTTCCTTCCTTCCTTCCTCCTTGAGTTGAAAGTCAAAGACAATGCTATATGAATAGATAGATCCCAAATCACAGATTGATCATATGAGAACATACGGTTTTCACTTAGTGTAATGTTCTTCAGGTCCATCCATGTTGTCATAGAGTAAAATTTTCTTCTTTTTTTTGGCCGAGTAGTATTCCATTGTGTAAGTGTACCATAGCTGTTTTATCTGCTCACCTACTGATGGGCACACACTTGGGTTGCTTCCAAATCTTGACTATTATAAATAATGCTACAATGAATGTAAGGTGCATATGTTCTTTCAAATTAGTGCTTTGGGTTTCTTCAGATAAATTCCCAGAAGTGGAATCACTGGGACCTGAATACCCTGGCCAGGGAGCTGAGAAGCACTTTGAAATGGGAAAAATCTGACAATCCTTTAGATATAATCTAAATGTATTTAAATTATGTTCTTGTTTTCTCCATCTCCCACAATTAAAGTTTATATAGGCAACATTTACAGCATGAAAGCCTGAAATTAGAGCATGACATTCATTTATGCAATAATTTAGTCTCAATCTAGTTTCTTAACCCCCATTTCCATCACTCATCCCCCACAGCTCATTAATTTACTTACCATTCCATAAATATGCCTTGTTTAGTTCACCATCTTAATCTGTAGATTGCTTTGCTTAAATACTCTCTATTTTTAATTAATTTGATAAAATTAATATTGGAGAAGGAATTTCAGAAAAATTTTTCCTTTGGATGGTCTCTTGATACTCAGAAAATGCATCTCCATTTGTACTGAAAAAGGCATTTCCTTTTAAAAATGTGCATGCTAGACATAATTCCTGAGAAATTAAGGTATTGAAAGCTTGATATCTGGATCACTTATTGCCTTTCTATACATTTTCTGATTTTTTTTCTCTCCATTGCTAGTTTGTTGTTGTTAATCCTCACCAGAGGTCCTATTTTTCCTTGTGTGTTTTTTTAAATTAAATTTTTATTGTTGAAAGTATTACATATGTCCTCCTTTTCCCTCCATTGACCCCTTATAGCCCACCCCTGCCCCTTGCCCCCTGCCCCGGGCCTTTACCCATCCTATTGTCTGTGTCCATGGGTTATGTATGTATGCATACAAGTTCTTTGATTGATCTCTTCTCACCCACCTCCACCTTCCCTCTGAGATTCCACAATCAGAGTGTAGAATCCATTGCTTTTTTAGAGAGAGTGGAAGGGGGGGAAGGAAGAATGGGGAAGAGAGAGAAAGAAAGAAACATCCACGTTGAGAGACACATCCACTGGTTGCCTTCCACATGCACTCCTACCAGGAGGCTGGGGAGAGAACCTGCAACCCAGGTACGTGCCCTTGGCTGGGAATTGAACCTAGGACCCTTTGGTCCATAGGCTGATGATCTAACCATTGAGCAACCAGGCAGGGCTCCATTGCTAGTTTTTGAGATCCTAAGAAACACATTTGAGGAAGCTTTTCTATATTCTGGTGTATAATTTCTATCACCTTACATTTGAAAAAATCACATTTTGCTAGGGATAAAATCTGACAGTCTTGGGTTTTACATGCTAGGACTTATCCATATCATTTTTGCCTCACCTCATAGCTTAGACCCAAAGTTTCCTTTGGTCTCTTCCATTTCTTCACATTATTTAAGCATTTTGCTCTTATTTCCATTCTCCTATCAGAGCAATGGTTGACTTCATCTCAGTTATTTGTAGTTTAGTATGAATGAGTTTCAGTGCCTATTCCTAATAGATGCTTGAAGTGGAGGAAAATATCAAGATAGCGATGGCTTCATCCAAGTACGTATGAAGTTCTAGAACCAGCAATATTTGAGAACAGGATTTGTCAGCAGCTCCTTCCCTCTTTTCTCTCAACTTTCCTTTTCCTTTTCCTACTCTAAGACTCCTAGGCATTCTTATTCTTTCCTAAATCTCCCTCTGTATCTGGTGTGGGCTATACGGACAAGTCACTCTCTGCTTCATGTTAATTTTATACTCCCTCTAAGCAGTTCTTATGATTATACTAATTCTTAAAGCTGAGGCTGTTTTGTGGGTACTGGGGAGGAAAATGCAGATGTATTTTTCATCAAAGTTTTCTGCTTCAGTGATGTTGAGGTCAATTGGAGATAAAGTTTTTTGAAGTAGGAGGAAGGGAAAATAACTTTATTGAAATGATTTTTACCATCTTTCCAACTTCTTAGTTACCTATTCAAAAATCTTGGTTTCTGAAAATACCAAATGTACCAAATTTTTCATGTTCAACTTGTTCTCTCAAAATTTGAGAATTAAAGGTATGAGGCTTCAGCATTTCCATATTCCTGTGCCTTTTAACAACCTCTATAGTTGTTTCCCCCTCAGGGGAATTATCTGTTGAATTGAACAGCCCTGTGCCAGAAAGTCATATATCTTCTATTTTATTCTCTCATGAGGTGTAAACATAAAAATATCCTGTAATATAACACCTTTGTCTAGGGCAAATCACTTACCTTCAATTGTATAGAAATTATTGTAGTGCACAATAGCTAGTGCAGAGTGTTTTTAGCTACTTCTAATCAGAGCTTACAGATGACTTTATACTTAATTCTTATAAAAACTTAATTCTTCAAACAGGGTTCATAATAGAACATAATATCTTCTGATTCCCCAAGGGAGATATGAGTTACTCACCACATCTTTATTATCTCCCATATCTTGCTCTGCATGCCCAATTGGTCACGATACATGAGACAATCAACTCCAAGGTGATGAATATGAACAAATACTGTGAAAGCATTTTACCACTTCTCTGTTTCCAAAAATAAAATGTACATTCCTTATATCTTTATATGTTAACACTTTAAAAATAAAGGTATGTAAAATTGCAGGAAGGTAAAAAAAAAATATATAAAAGAAAAAAATTGCCCAATGTATTTCCCACCCTCAACAACTATGGTTACTTATATATATTTCTGTTGATAATAATGTTAACTAACAATTATTGAGGAAGGTTATAAACTGATAAATTTCTGCCAAATGGTTAATGAACGTCATTGTCTGTGTTTTCTTATTGTGGATAAGGTCAGCAAATTTTCTTTGAGTCCAATGAACCTCTGAAGAAGATGGAATGGAGATACTCTTGAGGTTCAGTGTTATAGAACTTACTACTTAACAGAGAGATGTTCAAACTTAAGTCTGTTGTTAGAAAAGAACCCAAAGGGGAATTCACAGCGAAGGAAGAGGAAGTTTGAGTCTGTGCCCTAGGTTTATGTGTCCTGAGGGTAGGTGGTTTCCTCTCAGGATTGCCCCAATAGACACATATCCTTGCAGGATCCTTGGAGTGGGAATAAGAATACAAAATCTGCAATATTTGGAAACCCAACCCTGAAGGACCAAAGCACTTTTGTGACAAGGCCACCATAGACTCTCTGGATCAGTTTTCAATATTGATATCACCTAATAGAAACTGAAGCCAGGGCAATGGAAGTTATGGGCATGTTGGTGGACCGTTGAGATGCTCCAGGGTTATATCAACTAGAGATTTTATTTTTTATTTTTAAAAAATCATCATCCAAGGATACCTTTCCATTGATTTTTTAGAGAGAGTGGAAGAGAGAGGGGAAGATGGAGAGAAATATCGATGTGAGAGAAACACATTGATTGGTTGCCTCCTGCATGTTCCCTGACCAGGGCCCAGGCTGGGGAGGAGCCTGCAACCAAGGTACATGCTCTTGACCAGAATCAAACCTGGGACCCTTCAGTTCACAGGCCGAAGCTTTATCCACTGAGCCAAACCGGTTAGGGCTCAACTTCAGATTTGAAGTCAATGCTGAACCTTTGATTCTCAATGTTCCTGAATAAATGATAGGTTTAACAGGAAAAGGGCCTCAAGATGAAGATCTTGAATTTCTTGCTAATATGAACATTGGTGGTTCAAAAGATGAATTGGATAAATGAAAGAGTTAAGACTATAATTATACCCCAATTCAGTAAAAGGTGACATTCCTGTTGTACAAATATAATTTTAAGTAATATCTAATATATATGTATTTAAGATTTCACTTAAAGGTGTCCTTCAGGATATGTGACATAAAATATTAGCACCCCTACAGCAAAAAGATGGTTCTTTGAAGTGCCATTTAATTGATTTCTGTTTGATTTTAATTTTTTGTAGTGAAATAACTTGGAATTTGGACCATACTCAATTAGGATAAATGTTCTGTGTAGCCCTGTGAATCCTGAGCAAGTAGTTAACATTTTTAAGCTTATTCATTTAATTGAATCAGAGATATAAATTATTCCCTGAGTAAATTTGCAATCCCACTTGCTGTAAAATCCTATTCAAAGCTATGCAGAAAGAAGAAAATTCAGCAAAATGCAAACCAACATATTGAAGTAAGAAAAGCTTTCTGATTTAGGCTAGGAACTTAAATACAGGTGACATCCTCAATTCAGAAAAGTTGGTTTTTAGGTCTTGATTTGAGACCAGCTATTCTGACCTCTGGCAAGCCATGGGCAGATGGGATCTAAGAAGTAGAATCCATAGAAAAGGCTTTGGAACCTATGGCTTTAATTCCTACCCAGCTTGCTTAGCACTGACGGTCATCTCCTTGCCCTGCTGGTTCCTTCTCTCTGTACCGACAAATCTATATAGATAGGTGCACATATGTCCACAGTCCCACATTCACAGAAACACAGGTATACACACATACTGAAGCATAGACATAAGTACACTTAAACAGACTCACGTAGACCTGCTGATAGACAAGCACACAGAGCAGGGGGTGCAAAACATCCACCGTCATGTGCATACAGAACTGAGTACACATGCATTCCAAGTTACATCCATGTACAGAGTTCAGCTTTATTTTGCCTGCAGACTATATCTCTGACACTGAACATAAATCCCTGGGTACCACAAGTACATAAGGATACTATTTCCTTCTTTGAAGATCTAATCTTGCTATAATAAACTTGATCTTTTAAGGCCTGGGAAAACTGGCTTCAGACATATAGGTACCTGGAAACAATGGAACTATTATAAAAATATCTTGGTTAACCGGTGGGCTAGATTTGAATCTAATGCTAACTCACTCAAAATACATCTTTTAATATTTATAATATACTCCATTTGGGTACTTGAGGTTTTGGGTGATCCTAGCTTTAGGAATGTAACCTGTGGTTTGAACTACATTTGTAGTAGGTGCATGTGCCAAAGAGTAAACTAATGATGAAGTTCATTGGCATATCTTGCATAATACTTAAATATTTTGATCACTCATTTAAAATGTAATTCTAAATTTGAGCCCTCTCAGTGTGGCTTAACAGTTGAGGATCAACCTAAGAAACAAGAGGTTCAATTGGTTTGATTCTTGGTCAGGGCACATGCCCAGCTTGTGAGCTTGATCCCCAGTAGGGGTGCATGCATGTTCCTCTCTCATTGGTGTTTCTGTCTTTCTATCCCTCTCCCTTCCTCTCTAAATATCACTGAAAAAAATATTTTAAAAATTGTGATGAAATTCTCATAGAAATCTGGTGTTTACCCAAGGCCAAATAACAGCATCTGAATTTAAATTGGATGTGATAAACTCAAATGATAGTAAAAGTAGACCAATCACTGCAATGCTGGCACTCACGATATTCGCTGCTATAGCATAGGACACCTGGAATAGAACAAAAGAACCACCTGGTCACTGAAAGTTACCCACATGCATCACTGGCAAATATATTCCAGTAGAAGATTTATATAAATTTTGATCATTTCAAAATTGTAAGGTCAACTGTCAGAACTGCAGGATTCCAACAGAACTGAACAATTTTGGAGAAAATAAAACTTTTGATGTAGCACGCATGTCTTTTGTCCTTCACTGACAAATAATCATTAAAAGTCTACTCTGTACCATGCAAACTATGTTCTGCATTATTAGATAAGGAGGCAGAAAAGAAATGGACTCTGCACTCAAGGGGCTTTCAGACTACTGAGGAGAACAAATAAATGTTTATTAAAAGTAAATACAATTTTAAAAATGTTAACATTATAGGCAAATTCATAGTGCCATTCATGGTCAGAGTACCAGAGTGCTAATATCCCAGAAGTTTACTATGGTTCATTTTAGAGTGCAAGGAGGAGATTGTAGGGAATTTTTTTGTGGGGGGAGAGATAGGTGCTATCTAGATAGATATTTAGGATTTTATCTTAAAGGCGGTGGGGATTTACTGTTGCTAGAGGTGCCTACTCTGTTTTCAGGCCACTCTTGTCAGGCTATATACTCCAGACAAATGTGTATATATAATGTCACTGCATAATCACACTTCGTCCATATGAGGTCAGAGAGGTGGTAAGTCCTATGATATTGCTATTGGAAAAATCCTTTCCTTATACTTCCTTGTTGTCATTTGCACTGATGAAATTCTATCTTATATGAATTAGATAATAAATATGAAAAATTCAACTACTGGATTCTGAAACCTACCTCACTGGATACATCATATGTTTATCTAAATTGTTATTCATTGTTGTACAGTAATCTCAGCTTATTCTTTTGGGACAAATATCCCTTAAAGAAAGACAATCCCATTAACATAAAATGTTCATTAATTCACTCTTATAACCTAAACATCCAACAGTATTGTTTAGTAAGTTATAGTATATAAATGTAATGCAATCTTTAAAATGATGAATTTCCAATTACATGTACAAATGATTATACCATAATAAATTTTTATTTCAAAGAAGAGCCACCTTTATTGAGGAAATGAATCCATAAGGCCACTTGCAACAGTTCTTCTGTGCAGCATGGAGTTTTATTGGCAAACTCTTTTCTGAATACGACAAGCAGAGCACTTATTCTGGTTCCTGGTCTAGGCTGGGTTGTGTTGGAGTGCAGTGTACGAGTAAAAGTATGGAGGAAGTGGAACACTCAAACCTGTGGGTACACTGCTTTGCAAACAATTTGATAGGTTCTCAAGAAGTTAAGCATACATATGACTCAGGTATTTATCGAAGAAAAATAAAAGCATATGTCTATACTAAAACTAGTAGGAGAATGTTCATGGTAGCTTTATTTGTAAGAGCTCAAAACTGGAAACATTGCAAATTCCATCAACAGGTGACTAGATAAACAAATTGTGGCATATGCATACAATGGCATATGACTCAGAATTAAGCAGGAATTATTGGTATGCATGGATTAATCTTGAAATAGTCATGCTAAATAAAAGAAGTCAGATAAAAAAGAGTGTATACTTCTGTGTGATTCTATTTATATAAAATGCTAGGAAATGTATAATTACATTAATATAAAATTCTAAAAAAATACAAACTAATTTATAGTGACAAGAAACAGATAAGTGTTGCCTGGATTATCAAGGAAACAAGGAAACTTTGAGAGTGATGGTTATTTCATGATTAATGATCGTTATTTGATTGTGTTAATATGTATCAGATAGTATACTTGAAATTTTTTAAGCCTGTTGTTTATTGTATATCAATTATGCCTCAATAAGGCCATTAAAATTAAAAAAAAACATGAAGAGCACTATGTAAAAGCCAGATATGGTGGTAAAAAAGTGTGAAGCATGGCATCAACTTCTCCCTGCCATCTACTACAAAGTTATTTTTTTAGTAATGTTTAAAAGTAGAGAATATATAAATATTATTTTAAGAAATAATACTTGTTACTTTATTATATTCACTGTAAAGTATTAACTATTAATCTTTATTAAGAGTTCTAGGCTTTTTTCTAAAAGAACTAAAATGTTCAGATAATGGTTTCTGAACATTTAGTCTAATTTTAGTATACACATATGATACACACACAATAGTATTGTCAGCTATCTGTCTCCTTCTCCCTCTCAAACTCTAGTACTTCTGATATTGTTCTTTTGATGGTGTCCTATTGATCACATAGGTTTAGTTTCCTTTTTTTCTTTGTTTTCCTTTGACTTAGGTATTTAAAAATTCCTAGCCTCTAACTCACTGATTTTATCTTCTGTTTGGTAGATATGGTTGTTGATGTTCTCTTGCATTTTTCATTTCATCTCGTCAAGTCTTCAGCTTTTCTTTTGGGTTCTTTTTTATGATTTATATGTCTTTGTTTAATTTCTCATTTTGAGGAAATTTCTCATTCCTGATTTTATTGAGTTGCCTTTCTGTGTTTTCTTTTGGCTCATTGAATTTCCTCAACAAAACAACTATCTTGAATTCTTTATCAGGTAAATCACAGAATCCCATATTTTTTGGTTAAGTTACTGGAAGTCTATTGTGAGATTTTAATGATGTTACATTTCCTTAATTCTTCATGTTCCTTGAAGTTTTGCGTTGTTATTTTCACATTTGGAAAAGCACTCATCTCCTCCAATCTTTACTAGTTGTTTTCAGATAGGAGATCCTTTTTCATTTGTCCTGTTTGTTGCTGGGGCTTTCTCCTACTTTGTATAGGTACACTTGTTCCATGCTTCTTGCTCCCTCTTGTGGCCGAATTCTTTAGCTTGTATGTCTTTCTTTTTTTGTGTGTGTTAATCCTCACCTGAGTATATTTTTCCATTGATTTTTAGGGAGAGGAGCAAAGAGAGGAAAAGACAGAGAGAAACATCGATGTGAGAGAAACATATCAATTGGTTGCTTCCTGCACGAGCCCTGATCAGGGCCCGAGCCAGAGAGGAGCCTGCAACCAAGGTACATGCCCTAGACTGGAATTGAACCCTTTGGTCTACAGGCCACCGCTCTATCCATCGAGCCACCTGCTAGGGCTTGTATGTCTTCTCTTGATCTTGCAACTCACCAGGTAGGCTGCTGGAAACCTTTCTTTCTTTCTCCTTTAAAATATTTATTTATTTATTTATTTATTTATTTTTATTGATTTGAGAGATAGAGAGGAAGAGATTTAGATAGATGATAGATAGATGATAGATAGATAGATAGATAGATAGATAGATAGATAGATAGATAGATAGATAGATAGATAGATAGATAGATAGATAGATAGATAGATAGATAGACATTGATTTGTTGTTCCACTTATTTGTGTATTCATTGGTTGATCCTTGCATGTGCCCTGACCAGAGATCAAACTCCCAAAGGTGATGCTATATCTCAAGTTTGTGATTTCTCCCTTCTGTAAACCATGGCCTGTTTTCTGTTGGCATTCCCTGCCTACTGAAGCTCAATCTGTCACTACCCTTAGGCACACAAGGAGCAAGCCTCGGGGTGGCGTAGGTATGGGTTTGGCACTTTGGATGTTGAGGTAGCTGTGGACCAGATTAGGGGATCTTTCTGTGAAGTTTGGTTAATTTCCAGTGTTCCGAAATCATGAATTTTAGTTATTTTGATGATATTTCCCTTGATTTGTGGAAGGATGAGCCCATGGAGTTGCTTACTCTGCCATTCTAAAAATCAATCTTCTAGCATTAATGTTCAAAATTACTCTAATTACTTATTCTTCCACTTTACTACCTCTCAACATAAAACTCAATGGGAAACAACATAATATCTACAATATCTCACACCCATTGCCCACAATACAATCAAAAGTTTCTAGACATATGAAGAAGGAAGAAAGAAGGTAATAATGGATGCTGGGTCATTTCAAGATATCCAAATTTACATGTCATAACCAACATTTTAATTTGCATTAAATAATATAACATCTAGAAATTTAACTCCATGATTAACTTCATACATCCTGAATGATTTTTATGGCTCATAAAATATAACAAAGATTTCACTAATTGGAGTGTATTCTTTTTGGGGTGAAAAAATGCAGCCAAAACTTAAATTTCTTATATTTTAAAAATTTACCCTCCAAAAATTTGATTAAATTTCTAGCGGCCAAGAGATAATACTACCTCCTTATTAACTCTGTTTCTTTTGGCAAATAAAACTTATCTCTAGAGTTGCTACAAACATTCTGACTTACCAAGATCTTTGACTGATTCTTCTCTAACATTATTGTCAAGAATCCTGAGAGAAGAAACTGGAAATAAAATTCATATTGATTAATACCATGCATTACATTTATAAGAATGGATAAAGAATAAGAGAATTCTGGAATATTGTAATATGAAGAATATCATCTTAATGCTTTAGCAGGATCATTGAGAAAATCATCTAAGAAATAATTCAATGGTTCTCTACTACAGAGATAGGAAAAGGCATGAAATCTCTGATCACTAATATAACAGATGTATTGGAAATGAAACCTAGGGAAACCTTGAGGTCACTTTGTGGGACAAAAGGAGTGTCAAATAATAATTAATTTTTGTTGATTATAATTTATTTAGCCCATATGTGAATGATAAGAAAATATATCCAGTTAATAAATTTACTCCTAGACAATGTTATATTTTGCTGATTTCACATGTGAAGACTTTTAATATAATGTTAAAATATTTTATTAAAATAAAACATTCAGAAAACTTTTCAGCTTCCTCTTGCATATTTAAATATAAGAATCACATAATGGCCGAAACCGGTTTGGCTCAGTGGATAGAGCGTCGGCCTGCGGACTGAAAGGTCCCAGGTTCGATTCCGGTCAAGGGCATGTACCTTGGTTGCAGGCACATCCCTAGTAGGAGATGTGCAGGAGGCAGCTGATCGATGTTTCTCTCTCATCAATGTTTCTAACTCTCTATCTCTCTCCCTTCCTCTCTGTAAAAAATCAATAAAATATATTTAAAAAAAAAAAAAAGAATCACATAATGTCTTCCATGAGTAGCTTGTTCTGAGACCTCTAACATTTCCTAAAACTTGTAGAAAGATGGCAGTTATGGTGTATTATAAATTTCTTTTTTCACTGATGCAATTTTTATGCATGCATGGAATACCCACAGCATTAAAAAAAAATAACTATTTTTTAGTAGTAGAAAGAAGGAATGTTCTATACTCAGAAAAATGGGGCCAACACTAAATAGCATTTTGGGATCAGAAGGATCAGAATTTGAATTCTTTGCACTTTGTGTTTTATGGGACTCTAAGGGAAATTACTTAAGCTATGTTTTAGTTTTGCTTTTTTCATTGGTAAAGTGTGAGTTAATATTTTCTATGTAGTTGTATTACTGTGTTGCTGTTGTAACAGTTACATATAAAGCAATTCCCTGAATTATTTACAGTCAACTCCTACCTAAGGCTCAGAACTATGTTTACCAGAATTTCTTTCCTTGGATGGTTCCTAGTTATATTGTCCAAGAGAAAATCTCAAGCAATATTAGGAAAGGAGAAGGGAAGCCTAAACTATTACTCTCAGAAAGTCATAGCAGTCAGACAAACCCTGATTTTATGGGGTACAACAGATTTATTATATTCCAGTTTTTTTTTATTCGAACATTTATATTTGTCAGGCAAGGGTTAGTGATATGTAAAAGAACACATGGGGGCCATTTTCAATAGGATCAAAGGAGACCTCTTAAGAAAGTAACATGAAAGCTAAGCTCATAGGAAAAGAGTGACCTGAGTCTTTAAAACTGAAGGAAAGAGTTGACCAGAAAGAGAAAATGCAAGGATTCACAGAGGAGAAATCTTTATTTTTTCAAGGACCAGTGTACCTGAATGTATGTTTTATTTTATTTTATTAAAATATATTTTATTGATTTTTTTACAGAGAGAAAGGGAGAGGGATAGAGAGTTAGAAACACCGATAAGGGAGAAACATTGATCAGCTGCCTCCTGTACACCCCTTACTGGGGATGTGCCTGCAACCAAGGTACATGCCCTTCACCGGAATTGAACCCGGGACCCTTCAGTCCGCAGGCCAATGCTCTATCCACTGAGCCAAACCAGTTAGGCCTGGATGTATGTTTTATTTAACCATTAAAAATAAAAATAGAATAACAAGAACCTCTAACTCACTAGATCATTTAAAGAATTAATATAGAAGCTAACATACCAAATTCGATTCACTGTCAACAATTTTCTTCTGGAATTGTCAAATGCTAAGTAGCAAAACTTAGAATTTTGTCTTTAAGTAAAATTTTGATTTGACCTTTTAATTACCCCATGCAAGGATTACAGATTATAATGTTTTACTTACTGTTCATGTTGGAAATAGGTACACACATTATATTGACAACATAAGAACCAGAGCTAACGTTTCTATGAAGGTCCCATAAAAATAATTGAAAACACAGAAGGTATTTTGAAGGGTTGAGAAATGAAAGCATAGTAATTAAAACATTCTTTTTTTTTAATCCTCACCTGAGGACATGCTTAGACAAAGAAAGAGGAGGAAAGAATTGCAGGCTTGATACCCAACCCAGTGCGTGTGGGAGATAACCAATTGATGTATCTCTCTCACATTGATGTTTCTCTTCCCACCTCGCTTCCACTCTATCTAAAAGTAATAGAAAAATATCCTCAGGTGAAGATTTAAAAAAAAAGAAGAAGAAGAATGTTTCCTAGTCTGAACTGTAAATTTGTTGATATTAAGTAACATATTACTTAATTGCTTTTAATTCTCACATCTAGAAAAATGATAACACAGATTAAATAATAAATAAATGTTGCTTGAATAAAATTAAAACATATATTAACAGAGGAAATACTAGTCTCCAAAAATTATTTGAGTTAAAAAAATCTCAAATAATTTCAAATATGACTTGATCATATCAAAAATATAAATATATGTGATAATTTTTACAATGGCAACCTGGTTTTTAACCAGACTATTATTTAAGATACTAGAACAGTGATGGCGAACCTTTTGAGCTCAGCGTGTCAGCATTTTGAAAAACCCTAACTTAACTCTGGTGCCATGTCACATATAGAAATTTTTTGATCTTTGCAACCATAGTAAAACAAAGATGTATATTTTTGATATTTATTTTATATATTTAAATGCCATTTAACAAAGAAAAATAAACCAAAAAAATGAGTTTGCGTGTCACCTCTGACACGTGTGCCATAGGTTTGCCATCACTGTACTAGAAGCTCAGTGCACAAAATTTGTGCATGAGAGGGGGTCCTTCTCACCCTCTTGTAATCTGGGACTCCTTGGGGGTTGTCCGCCTGCCACTTTAGGCCCAATCCCACAGCGGGATCGGGCCTAAACTGGCAGTCAGACATCCTTCTAGCAATCCGGGACCACTGGCTCCTAACCACTCACCTGCCTGCCTGCCTGACTGCCCCTAACCACTCGCCTGCCTGATCACCCCTAACCACTCACCTACCTGATTGCCCCTAACTGCTTTGCCTGCCTGCCTGATCACCCCTAACCCCTCTGCCTGCTTTCCTCATTGCCCCTAATTGCTCGCCTGCCTGCCTGATCGCCTCTAACTGCCTCTGCCTCGGCCCCCGCTGCTGCAGCTTTGTCCAAAAGAACATCTGGAATGGTGTTCAGAAGGTCGTTCAGCTGTCTGGTCTAATTAGCATATTATACTTTTATTATTATAGATTAATACAATGGACTCATCTGTTCTTCACTTAGAATTATTATTTGAATTAAGGTTCTCATTTTTCTTGTCTGAACTGCAGAGGCCTCCCAGTTGTCTCAAATTTAATCTCTAGACTCATAAAATGATGGTATTAAAACAATCTAACCATGGGTCTGTCCTTAGTCAAATACTATTGTTTAAGGCTGTTCAATAGAAATATAATGTAAGGAACATGTGCAATTTTAAGCTTTTCAGCACCACATTAAGAAAATTAACAAGAAATATGTGAAGCTGATTTTAATGCTATATTTTACATAATCCTGTATAACCAAAACATTATCATTTCAATATAGAATCAATATAAAATTATATTTTACATTCATTTTATTCATATTAAGTTTTTGAAATCTGGTATGCATTTTACCTTTATAGCATTTCTCAGTGTGGGTTAGCTATATTTTGAATGCTCAATAGTTACATGTGACTAGAGGCTATTGGACAGTGTAGCTCTAGTCCTTGACCACCTTCTTTTTCACTTGCTTCTTTGGTGATCTCATCCAGTCTCACGGCTTTCAAATATCTACCTGTCAGTGACTCCCAAACTTACATCGTAAGCCTAACTTTCTCTTATAAACTCTAGATTCTACATCCAACTGGCTACTGGACATCTCCAGTTGAATCTTAGATATTTCAAGCTCAACATGCTCAAAACACACTCATTATGTTCCCTGATAATCTACTCACAGTTTTCTCTGTATCCATTGATGACAAGTCATCCCTCCTATTAGTGTAAACCCAAATCTTAGCATTATATTTTTCTCTCTTTCTCTTACATTCTACACCCAATCCATCGGGATAATGAATTAACTCTAACTCAACATATACCTCAAATCATGTTACTTTTTACCACCTTTACCAGCCTTTTTTGAGCTTCACCTGGATTCCTCCAGAAGCTTTCTAAAAGTTCCCTTGATGCCCATTTTTAAATTTTCAATACAGCAGCCTACACTAATTCTATATATCCCATGACTTCCTTGGCTTTTATGCTGTCTCATCTCGCTTACTCCACTGGCAAAATAAAATACCATACAAGTAGCTGAATAGTCACCAAACATTTCCTGTTTTTCCAAAATGCCCCTTTGACTTCTTTCATTTTTTATTAGATCCAGGGGGCATGCAAAAAGTGGATTCTTATTATGAAAGACTATTACTGATAAGAATCTAGGAGTAGATATCAACTGGATATAAGGATGAGTTCCTTGAGAACAGGGATCGTGCATTTTAGTGTTCTATCCCGGGCACACTGCTCAGCTCAGAAACAGTTATTAAATGTACTGAATAAATTAATGAATAGCAATCAGAGAGTACATTTTTTTACTCACAGTCAGAGATGCCCAGTATGGGTATCCTGTCAATGCTAGCAGAGGCAGATAGACTTTTCCAAATGCAATCTCTTGTGTGACAAGCAAATATGTCCAGATTACTCCCAGCCAGTTACAAATCAGACCAGTCACCATTTGTATGGCCTCGGAGAAAAGAACACTATTAATTACTTACTACTATTCCAATCCAGTCATTGAAAAGAACACACACCAAGAAAAGCCAAGGTAGAGAAGTAAGGTGATGATCTAACAGAATTTGAGGATTCTTAACCTTCAACTCAGATGAGGAAGATTTGTTATTATTTCAGAGTCATTGCAAAAACAATGACTATCTAGATTTCCAACTAAACTGTACTAGGAGCCTGTTTGTCTACTTGACTCAAGAGGTTATGTGACATTATCCCTGGAGCCCTAAAAAAAATTGCTATTCCTCAATACTGTGCAGTTAACAACCCTAACCTGCAGATACAGCTCTTATGTTATATAGGCTAGTGGACGTGGTACTTCTGACCATTCTTGTCCTTCTCTCATCCTCTCAAAACTGGGATTTGGACTTTGATTCCTTTCATTCTGCCCACCCCTGTGCCCACCTGTAACTGTGGTTTATATCAGAACCCCAGGGATCTTTATAAACAGGAGTTTAAAAAGATGGTGAACTTTTGTAATACCTTGTTTTCTATAGCTTTTCCTAGGGACTATTAGCTGGATGGGACTTATGGATGATTTCTGCCCACTGAAGCCAGGTCAGCTTAGAATAGTTTCTGAGCCAGTGGAGAAGTAAAAATCTGATCTTGCTATTTAGAGCCCCATAATATCTCACTGTGAGGTCTTTCAGTTGGTTTTCAGGTACTGATTATCCTTTTGTTCATAGCTCCTCTTAAATAGGGTAACTTCAACTTGAAATTTGCAATAGGCTCCTGTTTTTGGTATGTGATTATGAGGAGAGCCAATAAGTGGATAACTGCTGTACTTCTCTGACTTGGAAAGCACTTTGACTTCTAGGCAACACAAAACTTTGTACTTAGTGTCACTTCTGACAGGCTGTGCAGAGGGAGGAGGCAGGGAACATTGGGGCAGATAGGACTTTTCTCATTTTTGCAAAAGTGTAAATTTCAGCACCTTGCTGGTCTTGGGATACACTGACTTTCTCTGAAGTCTGAGTTTAGTGCAGGATGCTGGATTTTTTTTTTTAACTTTTTATTTTTAAATAAGTATAGATGCATAGGAATTTGCAAAAATAGTACAGAGAGGTCCTGTGTACCCTGAATCTGGATTCTCCAACTGGTTACAACTTACACAACCATAGTACAATATCAGAATGAGAAAACCAACTTTGATATAATGTGTGCTTAGAGTTATATGTCATTTTCTCACATGTGTACATTTGTGAACCCACCACCATAGTCAAGACACAGAACTATTCCATCGCCACAAAAATACTCCTCATGCTACACCTTTATAGTCATGCTCCCTTCAACTTCCTTATTCCTAAGCAGTCACTAATGTTTTCCTTTACTAACTTTTGCCATTTTGAGGCTTTTATATAAAATAAATACTTCAGTATGTACCTTTGGAGATTGGCTTTCTGATTTAGCCCTTTTTTTATTTAATACCCTTGAGATCCATCCAACTTGTGGCATGTATCAATGCAGTTCATTCCTTTTTATTTCTGAGTATTCCATGGTATGGATGCTTATAGTTCAACTACTCATGTATTGAGGAATTTTTGATAGTTTTCAGGTGGTTTCAGATAGTTTGGGAGCAGGGGGCATCACAAATAAAGATGCTATGAAGGCTCGTGTGTAAGTTGTGCAGGTATTATCTTTCAGTTCTCCTGGATATATCCCAGGAGTATACCTGCTGGGTTTAATGGCCAGTGTAAGTTTAGTATTTAAAGAAACAAACTATTTTCCAGAGTGACTGTACTATTTTTATATTTATACTAGTAATGCAAGAGAGATCCAGTTTCTTTTCATCATCACCAGCTTTTAGTAATGTTACTATTTTTAATTGGTGGTTCTAATAGGTGCGTAGCAATTACCTCGTTGTAATCTTAGTTTGTATCTCTCTAATGGCTAATAATGTTAAATATCTTTACATATGTGTATTTTCTATCTGTGCATACTCTTCAGTAAACTATTTCATATCTTTTGCCCATGTTAAATTGGATCATTTGTTTTTTTTATTGTTGAGCTTTGAGAATTTAAAAAAAACATATTATAGATATAAATCTTTGTCAGATATGTGGTTTGCAAGTATTTCTTCCCACTCTGTAGCTTGTCATTTCATCTTCTTAACAAGGTCTTTCCCAGAAAAAAATTTTAAATTTTGCTGAAGTCTCATTTATTGACCTTCCCCTCCTTACATGGATCTTGCTTTTGGTGTCATGTCTAAGAACTCTTTGATGACCCTAGGAACCAAACATTTTCTCATATGCTTATAGTTTTACAATTTATATTTAAATCTATGATCCATTTTTAATTAATCCTATATAATAAAAGGCTAATATGCAAATCGACCGAACAGCGAAACGACCGGTTGCTATGATGCTCACTGACCACCAGGGGCAGATGCTCAATGCAGGAGCTGCCCCCTGGTGGTCAGTGTGCTCCCACAGGGGGAGTGCTGCTCAGCCAGAAGCCAGGCTCAAGGCTGGTGAGTGCAGTGGCGGTGGCAGGAGCCTCTCCCACCTTTGTGGCAGTTGGACATCCCCTGAGGGCTCCCAGACTGCAAGAGGGCACAGGCTGGGCTGAGGGACCCTCCCCCCAGTGCATGAATTTTGTGCACCATGCCACTAGTTTTCATATAAGGAGGCAGAGTTAGGTTAAAGTTCTTTTAGTTTTGTTTTGCTATGGCTATCCAATTGTTCCGGCAATATTTGTTGAGAAGTCTCTCCTTCCTCTATTGAATACCTTTATCAAAAAAATCTGTCAGTTGTACTTGGGTGGATTTGTTTCTGGATTGTGTGCCCTGTTCTACTGATCTATGTATCTGTTATTGTGCCAATACCACAATCTTGATTACTGTAGCTATATAAAGTCAGGCAGTGTGATTCTTCCTACTTTTTCAAAATTGTTATCTATTCTAGTTCCTTTGCTTTTCCATATACATTTTAGAATAATCTTGTGAGAGTTGGGGCAATCACTGTGTCCCTTGATTCTATACCTTTATGGCATTGTGTGTCTCAGCAAAACAACTTGATTATTAAGTAGCCCTCCTTCCTTTTAGAAAGCTCTGGGTAACCTAAAAATCTGTGAGTAACCCATTTTCTCCCTTCCCATGCAAATTCCTGCTATTATGCTTTAAATTCACCAATGAAGAGTGAACCCCTGAAATTCTAGACACTACTTTTCTCTTTGGCCAAGAGGCCCATGCTCTATCTCCTATCTCTGCACCCACAACCTCACTGTGTGACTCTTGGGTATGCAGTGTATCCTCCAGGATCTGTGAGTAATAAATCTTGTTCTTAAAAGTACCCCAATGTTTTCTTACTGAAATGTACCCTGTGTTCATAATAAGAATCACAAGGTCTGGCCCACCCACAATGTGGGCCCTGGTGGGAGTGGGGTGGGAAATGTCCATAGGGCTTGCTGAGTCAGGCAAATGCTTCAGGCATTGCTAACATCACTATCATCAATAGGCTGGGACAACACAACAAACACTTAGTAGAAGAAAATCTGAGAAAAGTTTCATGACATTGCATTTGGCAATGACTTTTTAAAATATGAGACTAAAGCACAGGCAACAGGAAAAAATTTAAATTGAACTACATCAAATTTTAAAACTCCTGTGCATCAAAGGACACCATCAATAGAGTGAAAAGGCAACCCACAGAATGATAGAAAGTTTTTTAAGATTGTATATCTGAGGAGTAAATGTCCAGAAAATATGAAGACTTTCTACCACTCAACAACAAAAAACATACAACCCAACTAAGAACTGGGCAGAGGACTTGACATTTCTCTAAAGAAGACATACCATTGACCAAGAAGCACATGAAAAGATGCTGAAAGTCACTAATCATTAGGAATATGCTAAGAAAAACTATAATGAGATATTCCTTCACACCATTAATATGGCTACTATTAGAAAAAGCAGAAAATGGATAGTGTTGGAGAGGATGTGGAAAAATTAGTGCACTGTTGTAAACTGCTGCTGCTACTGCTGCTGCTATGGAAACCACTTAGCAGTTTCCCAAAGGTTAAATATAGAACTATTATATGACTCAGGTATATATATAAAAGAATTGACAGCAAGTATTTAGATACATATTCGTATACTTAGGTTCATAGCAGCATTATTCACAATAGCTAAAAGTTGGAAGCAATCTACATATCCATTGATGGATGACTGGATAAACACACTTTGGTTATACATACAATGGGGTATTATTCAGCCTTGAAAAGGAAGGAAATTTGGATACACATATACATACAACATGGATGGAATTTGAAGACATTATGCTAAGTTAAATAAGCTAGTTCCAGGACAAGGGTTGTATGGTTCCACTTCTGAGGTACTAGAGTAGTCAAATTCATAGAGACAAAGTAGAATGATTATTGCTAGGGACTGCGGGGGAAATGGTGTTATTGTTTAAGAGGTATAGAGTTTCAGCTTTACAAGATGAAAAAGGTTCTGTGGGCCTGACTGGTATGGCTTGGTGGTTAAGCATGGACTCATGAACCAAGAGGTTGCTGACTCAATACCCGGTAGGGGCACATGCCCAGGTTGCGGGCTTGATCCCCAGTGGGAGGCATGTGAGAGGCTCCAGTTGATGTTTCTCTCTCATTGGTGTTCTATCTCTCTCCCTCTCCCTTCTCTCTCTCTCTTAAAAAAAAAATCAATAGAAACATTTAAAAAATAGAGTTCTGTTGATGGATGGTGATGATGGTAATATAACAATGTGGATATCATGCCTCTGAACCGTATAGTTAAAAATGCCTTTGATGATAAAATTTATGTTATGTGTATCTTCGTATAATTTTGAAAAATATTGCTTAAACTTGTTTCAGCAGATCTTCACTGACATAGTGCTGGCAAGAGCATGGGGGTACAGCTTTGTTACTGCTAGGCAGGAGTTAAATTTGCCAGGCAGCCTCCATTGACACTAGGGGGAGGACACTGGGTCTGGGGAAGATGTAAAAAAAGATAATGCTATTATGACCATTGCCCACAAAGCTCTATGGTCTGAAACCTCTCCTGAATATAGTTTTCACAATCTGACCATCTCTTTGGAGCCATGTCATCATCAGATTAAATAATTTATAGATGCCAAAAAAAGGATTTTCTACTTTTTACAAACTTAGAGTATATTTTGTAAGAGTATGACTAAGTTATAATGGTATGTAATTATTTAAATTTAGTTGATAGATTCATAATTTCTGCTTTATTTAACTTTAGCCTTATATACAATTTATATGTTCAGGATGCATATGGAAAATGCAGATATTCCATAACTATTTCAGGACACTTTCATTAATTCTCCTCTATTTGGGGAGTTCATAATAGAATGGTTAAAGTCTCCTCTTTTTTATATTTAGAAATTGTAACACTACAGTTATTTATTCACTCAAGTAACATTTAATTCTTACCCCCAATATTCTTGTTTCCTTTTTCATCCTCAGTTGATTTCTTGGCATATTTTCGCTAGAATACAATAGAAAAATGAGAGGATAAATGTGTTTCTTTTCTGGATGAAATATGGGAACATATCCATAGTAATTATTTTCCTGGGTAAGATACTTAAAATTGAGAGGGAAACTTAATGCTAGAGCTGCTAATTTTTCACTGCTTTTTAGTCTCTTGAGAGATGTTTTTCATCAAACCATCAATATTACTATCTTGAAAAGAATCCAATAATTCTTTTTCAAGTAGTTTTGTTCATTTGCCAAACTTAAATTGGACTGTATTAATTAGTATGTGGTGTGCACTCCCACCCACCAATCCCACTAGAAATTACCCATATCCCACCTTCACAGGGTCAGGAAAATTGGACTTTTGCTTGATATGGCTTATTGTTTTATACCATGTTATTTCCTTCCAAATTAAAGTCTGATGCAGGGGTGCCTGACTGGCAGGACCCAAATCACATGCCCACATCAGCTGCAGAGGAAGCTGAAAAATATTCTCCTTAGGGAAGATGTCAATAGATAAGACAAATGAAACTCACAAATAGCTATCATTAAAATTTTGGATAATCTTTGGGATTTTTGTATAACTCGTATCAGTCTTCCTAGACTCCATATTTAATATTCATAAGAATTTTTCCTTGAGCCCAGCTGACTGGAACAAAGGTGGGCATCTAACTTAAGCTGGGCCTATAATCTACTCTTCCTGTGGCTATTTGGGCTGGTCTCTTGATATGGAGATCTTTAGGAGCAATGGTATTATTATGGTCTACCCTAATAGAGTTGTAGAGAAAGTGATTTTTGAGAATGAGAAGAATCAAGAGAACACCTGAAGAAAAACAGAGACAAGAAGGAATAGATCTTTCCAAGTTTCTGATGGTTTTTAATTTTCTAGTTCTAACTTCTTTTGGAAATGTGGCTAACTTCTTGCCCTTACATTATGTAAACATAACTGTTCATGTATTACAGTACTATATCTTCATTTTACTAAAACTAGAAAGATACAGTTTTCTTTTCTTGCAACCAAAATGTTTTGTTGTGTGTGAGTTTTTTTAAATCACCTTATCTTCTAACTTTTCTCACATGACTTTGGCAATCTACTCTCCAAAATTGCAATGTCTGATGGGTCGTCTTTTTTTCTTCAACCTCTTATCCAGAACCATACCTGAAGTCTGTAACCTTGTCTTCAGATTCTTCACTTACAAATTTTTCTTCCATTTACGTAAACCACAAACTCTTAGGGTCTGAGCTGCCCCTGAGATGGCCTACTGACGCTTGAAAGTGAGAAAATGTAGAAAGATATAGTGGAAAGTAAAACTTGAGTTCACATTTGCCCTTACCAGTTACTATGTGACCTTGCCCATATCCTTTATTCTTTCAAAGGCTGTGTCCTCAGCAACAAAAAGCCTGTAGGAGGGAGGCCGATGGGAGAAACTGGTTCAAAATGGAATCAAAAACCAGTGTTGGGAACGCCCCGCCCTCAGGATGTTCCTTACCAACTACAGGTCTCTACATAGGCGTGATCACAGGGCTACAGGGCATGATCTAACAGGTGGCGCCCTTACTTCAGGACCTTTTTGCTCCAGGAGTCCTGGCAGCAGTACTTGCTGAGTTGGCCCGGGCTGTTTCCTCAATGATGATGCCCCTCATCCCTCCCACGGTTCCAACGCCCACGGTTGTGGCCCAAGAGAAGGGCTTGGAGGGCGGGAGTGGGGGTGGGGGTGGGCCCTTGCGCTCGAGGGCCCCTGTGCTCTCGAGGACACTCGCGCCTGCACCTCTGTGGTGGGGGCCTCAGAGCTCTGCTGCGTCTGTAGGCTCCCAGGACCAGGACAGGAATGATTTGTGGGGGAGACAGCTGACACAGAGTTGGGTATACATGGGTGGGCAAAAGTAGGTTTTACATTCGTTGGTATGGAAAAGACATGCAGATTATTACAATAGTTTGATTAACTCAAGAGAATGTCACAATGGTACAATATTGTACCTAAGTGCATTGTACCATTCTTTTGAATTAATAAAGCTATTCAAATTATCTATTTTATATGAGCGAGTTGTGGTAGCTTGTACTTTTCAAGGAGTTGGTCCATTTCATGTAAGTTGTCAAAATTTTGCATGTAGAGTTGTTTGTAATGTTTCCTTATTGTCCTTTCTATGTCTGCGGAGTCTATAGTAATATCTCTTGTTTTAAAACTTAGGTTAGTAATGTGTTTCTTCCGACAGTCTTGGTAAAATTTTGTCAGTCCACTTCATTTTTTTTTTCCAAAAACCAGCTTTTTGTTTCATTTTCTTTTTAGTTTCATTGATTTCTTTTTAATTTTTGCTTCATATTTGTTTTGCTCTTTTTCTAGATGCTTAAAGTCAGAGCTTAAATTACTGATGTAAGGCTTTTTCTGTTTTCTAATATAAGCATTAAATGGCATAAATCTCACTTAGCTGTTTCACAAAATTTGATATGTTGCATTTTTATTATCGTGTAGTTCAATACATTAAAAAAATCCCCTTGGACTTCCTCTTTGACCTATGGATTACTTAGAAGTATGGTGTTTAATTCCTCCCCTTTCCTCTGAAAAGTTACCACTATCTTGACTTCCAACAGGAATTTTACTTGTTTTTGACATTTAAGGAAGTTGAATCCTGAAATATGTAATACTTGGCATTTGATATTTTTGCTCAACATTAAATTCGTGAATCCATTCTACTATTGATGAACATTTGGATTTGAAACTTTAGATTTTTCTCCTGTTGGGGTTTGGAATACTGATTTTGTGACTATTCTACAAATATTCTTTTATTTTGTTGAACATATGCACTAATTTTTTAGGCTATGAACCTAAGAATAGAGTTTCTAGTATAGCATATTCTCAAACTGTCATTCAAAGTTGTTTTATAAAACAACTGTTATAAATTAGGGCTGTTATGAATTAGTTCTTTACTGCTTTCCAGACAAAGCAAGGACCCTAAAACACTATAACTTCACCTGCCCTGTGCTATTTCGTTTCTTTTTAGATATTTTAGTATGCCTAGGAATTATTGTCATTAAATTTGTGAAATCCATTCTACTCAGAAACTTGTCTTTGTTCATTTTACCTTTATTTTTTTTTTCCTGCTTCTTCAAGTTTCCATTTGGGATCATTTCTTTTTTGTCTGAAGAACACTTACTAAAATTTCATTTCATTTCATTATTGATAAGCTTTGGCTTTTATTGTTTTTCTAAACAAGTTAGCGATTCTTTTTATTGTTGTTCTTTGAAACTAAAATGTCTTTTCTCCTTGTCTACCTTTAAGACTTTTCTTGTGGCTGATTTTATACAGTTTTATTATGATGTATTTAGATGTGAATTTCCTTGTATTTAGTTTAGGATTGTAACCCTTCTTGAATCTATAAAGTCATATTTTTTTGTTATCAAGTTGGGAAAATTCCCATGTACAATATCTTCTAATATTACTTATTTGCTTTTATCTCTATTCTCTTTTGAAATTTCAAATATATGGTATTGGAACTTTTCATCAGTACAATATGTCTCTTACTCTCTGTCCAGCTTCTGAGTTGCATTTTCTATCATTTAGTCAATGCTTCAGTCTTATTTTCCCTTCTTTTTCTTCTAGATCATGGATTTTTCTCACCACTTATGCTTAATTGCTGTTACATTTATATATTTAGATCTTAATTTCAGTCACTGTTATTTCTCATGTCCATTTGATTTTTATAATTTTTATTTCTCTGCTAAAATCTTGTTAAGATTTTATCATTTTGTTATGGTATCTATCATGGACCTGTGTTTTGGTTTTGGTTTTGGTTTTTGAATTTCAGTTCTTTCTTGTTTAAATTTTATTGAATCCTAGATATTGTGTATAAAGATGGTATTGATAACTTGATACTTGGGATAATGTTATCTTCCCCTTGAAATGATTTATTTTGCTTTGGTAGAATGTTAGGTTTGGGGAAGCTCACTTTAATACAACCTGTAACTGAGCTGATTTGGATCTGAACATCAGTCTATGAGAGTGATGGCCCAATTTTTCTTACCTTTACTAATATCCCTTCTAAGAATCACAACTGAAAGTCCTAGGTATTTAAGAGGGTCTTGCTGCTTGGTGAGCCTGAGCTCTAGTTATTGTCTTACAACCCTATAAGAATACTAGAAACTCATCTCATATTTTTAACCTCTCATCTGTGGTTTGTGTTCAGAAAATGTATCTAGGGGAAAATCTATATCAAAGGTTGGATCATCTCTTGTTTTCAACTCTTTTTCTTGGCTTCTTAAATCCTAGCTCCCCTAAGTTCTAGATCTTCAATATCTTCTAATAGATGGTATTTTAAAATTTTTTGTTGCTTTTGTTGTTTTCTTTGTAGGAAATTTGGGCTGTAATAACCTAATTCTTAGTTTCTGAAAATGGAAACTACCTAATATTTTAATTATCATAAACTCAATCTCTCTGTATATAGCTCACATTTCTCCAACCCCCAGATATGTATTTTGAACTGTCTAATAGACATCTCAACTTTAATTTCTCATAGTTATCTCAAACTCAACCTATTCAAAACAGAATTTATTATTTTATTCAATCCCACTGTGTCTTCTACATTTTGTATCACTGCAGGCAAAACCCAAACCAGAAACTGGGTTGTTTTAGATTTTTTCCTTCATACCTTATGTTTAGTCAGTCAACAAAGCTAAAACTTACCTCTCTTTTTTACTGCTTGTCTGAATCATTGCAATAGTTATCCATTACTCTCTTTCATAGTCTAGTTGTTATTAAGTTTATCCTTCCTAATACATTTACCCCTATTTAAAATGTTTTCTCAAATGTATTATTTACCTACTTAAAAACTCTACAATGACTTACCACTGTCTGCAAGATATGATTAAAGTTCAATACTTTAATCATAAATCTTTGATGATTTGACTTCTTTATCATCTAGCTTCTAATTACCTCACCAACTTTCACACTTGACCTACTCCTATTGTTTTCATAATATACTAGAGGCCCGATGCACGAAATTCGTACAAG